ACTGTTTCAGACATTGCCAAGATTTGTAGAACACCCTCTAAATGGTGTCAGATGGTCTCCTGTTTACTGCAATGTTTACTGCAGTAGTGTCTGAAACACACAAATACCCCCCTCAATTATTTCCTGTCTCCTTTACTTTTATCTCACCTAGACTGTGATCTCTTCAGAGTAAGAACTGGCTTAATTTTGAATTTTGCATGATAACAGGTAGAGTGTCAAAGCTCAATGATTAACAAACTGTTAAAGACAAATCTCAGCAGGAGCCCTACAGGACTGCAAAGGCTGGATTTTCTCTAACAAAACTTTTCCCATATGAAACTTTGGACATACTGTACTTTTTTCCACGTGCAAATTCCAATTTTGAGCAAGGATATGCAAAAGATGAACAGAAATTGAGAATGTTCATACATACACGGGCTAAGAGTCCTTTTCAAACAAGTGTAACCAAACTCCTGTGTTTTTAAGAAGCCATAATAAGTACATTACTCTTAGCAATATATATTTTTTTTTTTCTCCATAGATACATAATCACAGACTTTCACTAAGGAATAATATAAAAGCAGCACCACCTAGCGGTACCAAAATCACAGTGTAGTATTTTCAGTGGTTTCTTGAGAATCCTGTTGGAAAAACAGGGAAAACTCAGCTGAAATTATTTTTGAAATACCCACATGACATTTACCATTTACGTGTTTGGTCTTTTTTTTTTTTTCTTTTACAGCAAGAACATGCATTAATATTTTCAAGCTCTTAGCATACACACATGTATACTTATTTTCTGTTGTAAGTATCCCTTGACAGGGATAAAGGGAACACATGCATTAATCACAGCAGATAAAATATTATTCTTTTTATTATACACACACACACACATACACACATATATATATACACTTTTAAAAGATCAGGTACCAAAATAATTTACTTCTCACACCTTTCCATTCACCTTTATTATTTACTACTGAATGTGTAAGGTTTAGGTGAAAACCTACACAGGAATAAGAAATACTTAGCAACTTTGGACTGCTTCCCAAATATTTTCCAACATACATTCCAGGGAACTGTAGTTTATCTTGCTTCAATAAATATTGTCCACGACAGACATGCTCACTTCACAAAAATCAGAAGGGTCCAATGTGTAAGACCAGTTGTTCTCCCCAGTGATGGTATTGGCTTACATATTTACATCTGTGCTCAGTAGCTGTACGGTGCTGGGACTATCACTTGGTAGCATTTTAAATCATCCTACCATCTGCTTTTCACTTGCCCCTGTAAATCCTCCATTGACACTTCTGTGACACTTCAGGAGGTGAAAAACCCTCGGATGCATCTGCCACCGTGGGAGCCCGCCAGTGCAAACTAACATTGTTCTGAGCACTGAGAATCAGTGGTTTGTTACAGCGTTTCTGAGTCTTTCTCTGGGCATGCACTGGCGAAGTTTGGCATTATCAAAGATATAAATCTCTAGTAATTATATGAAATTATATGATAGCATGCTTTAAAGTTAATATAAACATTGTATGACAGCATACCATAGGAAGGAAAAACCTCAGTGATCAAAACCAGTAGTGGCCTTTTTTTTGCAAATAGTACACATCAGGCACCCAAACTACTCCTGCTTCATCCCTTTTCTCTTAGCCTGCCCCATCCTCTGTGCAGTCCACAGCTCACCTCTCCCCTTCCTGAACTTGCAGCCCATGTGATATTTGGTACAGCCACAAAGCTTCTGCTCCATGTGGCTTTCCCACTCCTCGCTTCCCAGTCCCAAGTACCAGCACAACCCTTCTGTTCCTAGTTCCAAACACACCCCCAGTGCCTACTTCTCATGTTCATGGCTGCCAGGCATCCTACTCTCCATCTTCACAGCCACATCACTGCTGGGCTATTTAAGAAGCTCTGCTGGCATTCTGACTATTTCACCACTGACCTCATAGATTCCTTCCTTGCCTACAAGGGAGTATGGAAAAACAGAGAACAAACTGACTGAATAGACTAATTCTAGTTGAACTTTATGGAATTCTTTTTACCATGTTTTATCATTTCATGGTTGGGGATATATTATTTTTTTATTTAGTCTTTGTCTATTTAGTTATATAGTCTTTGCCATGTCTCACAGTGACTTTATTCTAAACTTAAATTGTCCTGATAGTTTGAAACTTTCAATACCAGTTTATTTATTCACTGTTACTGGTGATACTTGTTTTGAACAGGAGTTGTCCTTTACCTTAAGGAGTAAAGAGCTTAATGTGAAAGTATTTGAAGAGAAATTTGATGTCTTCTTACAATATTCACTTTTCTAAACTAATTACATAAACTTTTTGAGAATAAATTTAGTCTCTTGCAGACATCTGTTTCTACTATCTGTTATCTAATCCAACTGGAAGGAGTAAAATCAGTCCTGCAGTTTTGTGTCCAACAAACCAAGTTCTCCTAAGCCCATGGTTACATAGCTTCCAGATGTGCCAGGGCTTGATTTGCCATCAGACCACAGGGAGGCAGAGCAAAAACCATTGTAGTATAACCCTTTCTCCACTCACAGAAACTATTAACCTGATAATCTTAGTGTATCCTCATCTATCCAAAACAAACTGTACCTTTCTTGAACACTTAAGGACACTGCATTGTAGCACTTAAGAAGTATCTCCGATAGAAATTGGGGAAGAATAGGTCAGATTGCACTCATACATTATAGGCTGTATTTGTCATTATTCTCACATATTTGCACTTTTTAGTCACCTGTGATTACATAGGCCTTCCTCTACATATTACATTCTCAAGCAGTGAGCTCCTCAAATTAATTATTTTTATTTCCTACATACACATATTTTGCTATGAAATTCCAGCCCATTTCTATTACATTTTGGGTTTTGTTTTTGTTGTTGTTTTGGTTTGATTTTCACACTTTATGCCTTTTTTCTTTATATCTTAAATACTCTTCTATGTATTAAGCAATTAATCAAAACATTAACATTAGAGTCAGTCCTTGGGTATTTCTTGGATAACTTTTCTAGTACCTTTCCTCCCCAGTGACAGTACTCTTAACATAATGTTATTTCCCATTTTGCCAAGTCATTACACACCTTCAATTCTTGTAAGAATCCCCGTATTTTCTAGCTGAACTGTTAATTTCCCATGAAGCAGTGAATATTTCAGCTCAATACAACAAGTTATAGACTTTAAGCTGTTAAAGGAAAATGCAAGTATAAATAATAATTAAAATAAGAACCAAGACTTTTAAATTCTGTATAAATATTTTATTATGTATAAAAGACAACTTACATGGATAGGTGCTCTATTAGAACAAAATGTTGGCTGTTTTCATTAAAAGATTCAAATGCTACAAAAAGCATTTTTGAATGTCTTTTCCATCTTCTACATTGATGTATTACTTAGGGATTCATACCAAGCAGCAAATGTACTACAACACAGCAGTGGCTAGTGTTTCTAATGATGCTATGGCAAAGCAAAAGCTAGGCACCATATGGCATCCAAATTTAGATTCAAGGCAGGAGTTCTTTGTCTCCAAGTCAACAAAACCAGGCAGAGTTATGGAGTCAAATAGACTCCTTAGTCAGTCCATAGACTTTTAAACTGATTTTGCAAAACATCTCCTTTGGGATGTCAGCTGGCTCTGGCAAATACAAATCTCTTCATTTGATTTAAGATGGAGACAATTGAAATGAACAATGAGAAAAGGGAAAAAAAAGGAAAAAAAAAACCAAACAAAAAAAACCCAAACAAACCAAATCATGGAGTAATTGGAAGCCCTGGAAGAAGGCAAGCTTGTTCTAGGAAAATACTCCTAACAGAATACCTGGTTTTCTTATAGTACACATATAAACTCGATACAAGGATAACATTTTAGAGTCTTTATGTAAGCAGTTCATCCTCTTATAGATCAGATCAATTTTGTTTAGTGTTATTATTTTGTATATGAGTTCCATACAAAGGAGATTTTGGAATTTTTTTGTCTAAACCTTGAAAAGGCACCACAAAAAGGAATCAAAATACTATAACAATGCGACTATAGTAGCTAGCTAGCAATGTGAAATTTCATGTACACTATTAAAACTACAGTGTTATTTAATTTCTAACCTGTCTTTGACTTCCAAAGGTAGACAATCAAAGAAAAATTTTGCCATTTTAAAAACCAAGTCGCAAAACTTTTGCTAAGTTTATTTAGCTGAAATATTTATGATTGTCATTATGCAAACTACCTCCCAAAAAACAGTCAGAGCCTGACATGTAAACAGTTAACTCTATATAATTACATATGTATCATATTTGGATATGCAGGCTTGAACGTTGTTCAAGGCATAAAGTGGATACAGGGTACAAGGTTTCTCTCAAAAATGAGAATGTAAGGTTAGTGCAGTGATACTAAAGTTATCCAAAGTATCATGTAAGAGTTTTCTGTTGGCTGTCACAAGAAAAGTAGTAATAATAAAAAAAACAACCAAACAAACAAAATTACTCCCAAAAGATGAAACCCAAACTTCCAGGTGTCCACTCTTTCTGTTAGGCACCAGAAAGCAAAAAACCTCTCTGGATACATCAGTAGTCACATTTCCATCCTACATAACTCTGTATTTGCCTATGGGTTCAGCAAGTTAAAATGGGAAGTTTACAGTTCTTATTGCTGAAGAACTGTGAATAAAGTTAAAAGTAGTATTTTAAAAATGATAAGTATGTAACAGCTACTTCCTTTTAATATTTACATTTGAGTTTGACATATTAGCTAGAACAATGAAAGTGTCTTGTGCTTTGGTGATGAGAACAATGCCTGGCTTCAAACTCTCCAATGTGACATTTAAACTCTCATTTTTAATACTTTTTATTTTTTAAAAACTATATAGAAACATTCTATGGGGATTAAGTTTAGATAAATTTGTATATGTTCTGTATTTCAAGTCTAAACAACATGACATAAGTTGTATTTTTTCTATCTTCTTATATTACTGGTTTTTTTTTTTTTCATACATGCAGAGTAAATATTTTTAAATATAAAAAAATGATCTCATAATTTCATTGTTACATGGAAACTTCTAAAAAAACCTACTGGAGGACAAGAAACAGGAAAATACAAACTTACACATGCAGCTAATTTCCACATATTATATAATAATCCCCTTGTTCTCAAATACACTCACTGAATAGCAGCGTAACAAAACTACTGAATGATATTGACATGTCCAAATTTACTTTGGGTTGATTTTTTTCAATGCATGTCTTGTTATTACTAGGAATTCTTCTAAATAAAAGGAGATTCCCAGTGCAAGAAGGAATTTTTTGGTATATATTTTCATATGTGTAATTAACTGTTACAGGAGAGTTAATTGCTCTTATGTACTGCTAGAACTAAGGCAGAACATAATACTTCATTATATTGTCAAATACCTACAAACCAGAGAACAAGCATGTTTTAAACTTTCACAAAATGCAAACCTGTTTCCATGAAAATTGTAAGAGTATTTCCAAAACATTTGAGTTTCACTTCCTGTCAGAAAATCTGACATTGATGGAATTTGCAGGAGTCAAAAGTCCATGAGTTTTGGCATGAACTGGTTCAGTTTTGGGAGAAATTTTGATTTCAAAATTCTGAAGTAACTGTGAACATAAACAGGACAAGTATTAGAAAAACTGCAAAATTACCAGTGAAGAGTAGCCTTTAAACAAGAGAGCATAACAGACTGTCACAAGCAAAATATGTGTTGCCAGTTGGGCAGCGTTTAAGTGCTATGATTCCCATCCAGGAAAAAAAAAGAAAGTGTTACAAGGTAAAAATTATAGTTCAAAATCTTCCTCCTGTGATGGAGGGAGGACCAAGCAAGTCCTTATTGAAGAACTTCTACATAACCAGATTAAACAGTCTGAACTATCAGAGAAACTGTTCAAAGTTCCAAAGGTCTCTTAAAAACTTTGTGAGGTTCCTCTCTATGTGTTTTTTATTTCACTTCCTTTAGTATCAATCAATGTGTGAAATTATTAAGAAAGCTATAGGAATCCAAATTCCATCAGACACATTTTTCTGAAAGAAGAATACTTCAGCTATCTACTTTTACACTTTCAGGAGGAAAATACTGCAACATCCTCAGCTTTTCCTAATACTAAATCTCAAACACTTTTTTCTATAAATAAAGTAATTATCTCTTATCCTTCTTATTATCTTTGTCTTCCAAATATTGTTGAATTTGGCTATATTGTCTTTAAAATGCAGTGTATAGGGATAGCAGTTTATAGTTGCCTAGTGAGAATTCATCAGTTTGGTAAGACTGAGTAATTTAGCTCCTCTTTCTGACATACAGAACGCCTGCTAATGCTGCTGGTATTATCTAGAATCACATAGCCTTGTCAGAATTGACCAAATTTTTACTATATCCCTCCAGTCTGTTCCTATGATACTAATATTATCCAGACAGTTGTTTATAAATTTGTATTTATGCATTTCTTTCTTCTCAAGGGCACTAACTTGTAACTGTTACTAGTGAATAATTTTGTGTTGCTTCTGGAACATTTCTCCTTTTTTGTCAAAATTCTATATTCACATCCCCTGATTATAACTTAATTCACAACAGCTTGGCATCCCATGAAAGCTGTAAAAGTATTCTCTAATCCATCACTTACTCTGTTAATGAAAATAACAGCCTAAATCAAATGCAGGACAGACTTTTATAGAATTTTAATTAAATGCTTTCCCAGTTCAACAGCAAATATTTGATAGCCACTGCCTCCAGCTATTTCCTTTTTCCAACCAGCTGTGCATGTATTTTATGGGCACTTCCATCTGGAACAAATTTTATTAATTTAATTGAGGGAAAAACATACAGGACATGTGAACATACTTCCTGAAGTCAGAATACATGGCTTACTTTATACCCCCACATGAGGTAAGTGATCAGCTCAAAGAAAGAAATCAGACTGGTCTGAAACAATTTCTTTTTGATGAGCTCCATATGTTTCTAATTTTAACTCACTTAAATATCACCTCTATGTTTGTAAATAGGTTGTGTGCTATTTTATTCTAGTTTCTTTCCAGAAAACAAAGCAGGTTCTCCATTGCTTCCTTGAGTGTCTTTTTCAAAAAGATGGAAGCATGTTTGTTTTACCAACCCCCCTGGGAGAGCTCTCACTTGCAGTTCCAAAAGACAGGCACTAATTGTTCAGCGATTGCTCTAGAAGTTTACTGAAGGAAATTCAAAGAAAAATTCAATCAAACTTTCCTTTGAATACATAAAATGGATCTAAATATTTTTATAGTTAAGCAGCTATAAATAGTTACCAAATTTTCGCTATTTGATTGCACAGTCTGGACTCATTATTTGAGCTATAAGCTGTCTTGTAAATGATAAAAAATGTAGCAGCTGTTGGGAACATTTTCTTTATGATATGAACCAATCAAAAACAATATATCTCAATATGTACTATTTATATGACTATAAATTATGTATATCTAAAATGATAATGAGTTTGAAGAAAGAACAAGAAGAGACAGAAAAGCCCAGAACACAGAAAAATTATACTGTTTGTCGTGACACTGTGATCAGTACAAGGATATAAAATCTATTTTATGTCTTTGTAAGTTCTGAATTCTTTTAACTAAAACACAGAAACTGAGCAGGTAACCATTCTAATATACATTAAGAAAGATTTCTGATTTGCTTACAAAAACCTTCTATGTAAGCCTACTACCAAATCTATGTATTTCCTTAACAAACTTACCTTTAGTTTTACATCATGTGTACCATACCATTTTAGATAGATGTAGTTTAGGTAGTATGCTACATTTCAAGCATGATTATTTTCAATTTTTAAGTCCTTGCCCCAAGAGTATATTAGACAACACTCCAAAACAAAGGTTTTGGAGTGTTGTCTAATACTAGATACCCAGAAATGGCATACATAAAAAAATAATACCAATTCACTTTTCTTCTTGTAATGCTGTCACATAGTTCTAACCTGAATCAGTGCAAGATGGATTTCCAGCTCTGCAATTCTTTTTCCTATACAACTTCGAATGCCATAACCAAAGGGGATGGAGCCAAAGTTGTCCACTCTGTCCAAATTATCTTTCCTCAGCCAGCGCTCAGGTCGGAACTCATTTGCCACTGAGAAATTTTCTTCACTGTATGAAGTAGCATAATGACAAAGTGCCAGCTGGGTCTGAGGAAAAAAATTATATTCATATTTAGCTAGTTCCAATGCACATAACAAAATTTAAAAGAATTTGCAATTACTGTAATTTCTGCAATAAGAGGTGATAAAAATTAAGCAACTCTGAGTAATTCTAAAGACAAAGGGATACTTCAAAAATCAAATCCCTTTCTCAGCTGGTCAAAGGAAATAATCTTCCAATTGTTTTCAGTGTTGCTGGATATATTAGAGAAGATGCACTGGGGAGGGAAATGGCAACAAATCACAAGTATTGGGAATTGTTTCATGAAGCTGCTATGTGAAAAAGAGAGAAACTTTCTACAAAGGGAGTTAACAGACAAAGAATTACAAAACTGCAAGGATAATGAAATTCATGCTTTTTTTATTGAATTATACCACTACACAAGTATGTTATTAATAGACCCCACCCTCAAAAATATTAAGAAGAAGTCACGATGATAAATTTCATTTGCCTGTGAGGACCCAAATAAAAAATGTCAAAACAACAACAAGTCATAAAATCTCTTGGTGGCATATAAATGGGTATTACTGAAATACTTCCCTCTTAATGTTCTAGCATGGTGAAATCTTTTAAAATCAATGAAGTGTATATATATTGTAGCAGATCATATTTCATTAGCAAAAATTAAACTGTTCTCTGCAGCAGACTGCAACATAACCTACCCCTTTTGGTATCAAGTATCCTCCAATGATCAAGTCTTTTTGGGTTACTCTTCCATTTCCTGGCAGTACTGGATATAACCTAGTGAGAAATATTTATCTGGAGTTCAACAGTAATAACTAATACAATTTAAAAAATTTAGATTCAAATTTGCATTCGCAAATATGCTGGATGAATGCTATATTCATTTACACCAAAAATGTTTTTCAGGAGTACAGAACACCTTGGAGCTTCAAAGACCTTGAATCATCTGTGTGAATATAACCATCATCTGAGAAAAGTTATTTATTAGTAACTGAAGGTTGAGCTATTTGGTCTATGTATTTATTTGCTTTACACATGTACAAGCATGAAGGTAGGTGGTCAAGCTGCCAACATTTTAGCACTGCTGCTAAAGCTGAAAAAGCTTTATTGATGCCTTCTTTAAAATCCTCTTACTCCCTTCCCCTCATTTCATAATGGACATTTAGTATAAACATATTTAAAAAAAGTATGTCACATGCCTTTAATTTAAATCGAAAAGCTTAAAATCATTGAAGCGGCACTGAAAAGTATCAGTGCGGGGAAGGAGGTTCCTACATTTTGTCACACAGACTAAAGGGAAAAATCAAGCTTTTGATTCCTTACCTTAACAGACACATCCTATGTATGTGATACCACTTCTACCATACTTAGAAACATTAAACATTACATAATCTATCTTATTCGTTGCTTAAGCATCCTTGGACACAATACTGCTGAAATAATTAAAATTAGGAGCAGCAAATTGCAATAGCAACAATAAACTAAAAATGCTAAAATGGACTCAAAATTCATTAGAATAACATTGAATTAAATATTTTTATTGTCTGCTACTTACCTCAAGGTTTCTTTCAGGACAGCTCTAATCAGAGGCAGTTTTGGGACATCATGGGCAGCTGGAACTTGATCTTTCCTCAGCTTATTGACTATTTCCTCATAAACACGTTGCTGCACCTCCGGGTGCTTTGCCAGCAAGTATATTGCCCAGGACAAAGTAAAAGAAGTCTAAGGAAAAAACCACAATCATCAAGCCCAACAAGATTACATTAAAAATAATCTCAAGCCAAGAAAAACAATCAGCTTTCAACTATGTGTTTTATATGTTTAAAGTTATGAAACAGGCTGGCAATGATTCACATCTGGATTCAATGGGAGTTGCCAGACTTTGCCATCTCCTCCTTCATCCCTTTTCCATCTAAAAGTCCACCGCATATCAAAACAATCCATGTTGGTATTTTCCCAGTGAAATATAAAAAGCAACAGACAAACCAAATGCAAACCCAACTATGTAAACAATATTGAAACATAAACACTTTAAACAGCAATGGATTAAGTTAGCCCTTAGTTTTCAATATGCATTTCACCTTTCCTTCCAACAAAAACACTTCACAGGAAACAAGATAAGAAAATACTACTCAGAACACTTCCAACCCTTTTTAAGCATATGGTGGTCCCCTCATAGCATCTACAGATTTGATATCATCACTGCTAAGATTATCCTTTTTGGTAAGAAATGCTGCACCACTACCATTTAGAATATTTTTATTTTGTGTGAAAAAGAAACACTAGGCAGGAGATAATCCAACTTTGAACACAAGAGAATTTAAAGAAACCCATCATCTAATCTTTTTTCACCACAGCTGGAAAAAAAAGTCTTGTGGAAATACCTTATTTTGGTCTTAAGATCAATTTAGAGTGCAAATTCATCATGATGATGACCTTTTATGTCTTGTCTTCAAACTGGGGTATAGTGCTAGAAGTACCATGCTCATAGGCTTTTCTTGTTTTTCTTGCAATATTGAATGGTTGTGCCTTCTACAATGCAACCCAGTTCTATTCTACAGAGCTCTGTACACAGCTTCTCTGATATAAACAGTGTTCCTTCCCAGCTTCCCGGTTTCTTCATAACTGCTTATAAATTAGGACTGTTCCAGCAACGGACAAAATGCTTTGTAGCCAACAACTGCCTCACAATTCTGTTGAAAGCTTTTATAATCCTCTAAACCTCTTTCAGTTTCTATGATAAAATGAGATCTGAATTGACAGCAGTAGGGAAAAAAAAGATTCCTTCGATTTTTGTTTTGTACTTGAAAATGAAGAGATCAGAAGTATTGTCCTCTCAGAAAAAGACTGCTGCCAGCTGAGAAAGCTGAATGAAATGGAAAGGGAAATTCTTGTTGGCATGAGCATTGTCCTTTTATTTTAATGACAAATGTCACACACTAAAAATGGAAAATTCATGCTCTGAAAGATTAGAAAATGAATGGGATTAATAACTGTGTTTTATTCAAGAACAAAACATCAAAAATGTCTGCAAACTCATAAGCCCTTGGGACATTTAACTAATGGAGTCATATTCAGCACATAAAGAAGTTTTACATATGCTCCTTATTTTGGAATTCAAAAGTGATTGCTGTTGGGTTTTTTTTGTTTTCATTAGAAACCTTACCAACTTTCTTAAGCAAAAAAAAATAAAAATCTGAATTCAATTATCCAGAGTTTTTATTTTCTTTAAGACCATTTTATTTTTTTACTTATTTTAAACTTTTCTACTCTAAGACTATTCAAGTCCTACATACCACTTCTTTATCAAATTAATACAATTTCTTTTAAAAATGTGTTCAGTAGCAATCATCTATAGTAGTAGAGTTCATTGATATTCTAAATAACTCTGTATACATTGTACATACAATATCTCATCTTTCTTTTTCCTTATTCTTCCAATTGTCATGCTGCAGTCAGTACTGAACCACACTGATTTCATATGACAGGAATGAGCAGGGAAGATACACACACGACATTAATGTTACTTCAAATGGTCTGTATGGCAAATCAGAAGAATGAAGAATGAGAGACACTTGAAACACATTCCTAGGTGTTCACATACTGGATACACCAGCCCCATTAGTCCTGAATCTTTACACAGCTTTCTGCCTCAGCCTGACTCTGTGTTGCCACCACAAGCAGGGGTAGAGTGAACTTAATGCCTTATCCACATCATTGCTGGCCTAACTTCTCCCTCTTAATGGGTGCCAGCAGAAAGCAGGTATCTGATCCATAATGTGTGTTCCAGTTGGTTTAACTAGCCATACATGAAAATCCTTTACCAAACTCCTCACATGAGTTTATTGATCTATTTTTTTCACATTAACTTTCAGCTGACTTTTCTACTGTTGTTTACCTAAAGTAGCAGAAACACCTACCTGATAAGCAAACTATGAAAAGAAAATGCCTGAAATATAAGCTGAATGCAAAGACAATTGCTATTTTATCTGTTTAATAAACTGTGGAACAGACTCTCAAGTGGTGGGTTCCTGTAAAACACAGCTAGAGCAGTGATTTCATTCCAGTGGAGTGATTACACAGTACAGGAAGTATTTTGTATCACTTTAAAGGTGTCATGGCTTCAATGTGTTAAAATTACACCCTTACAAACAACGTAACTCCTGTGAAGAGATCTGCCAGTGATACTGGTTTACAAAAACAACTATGCATGAGAAAAAAGGTTACAAGCTTACTGTGTCCACTCCTGCCAGAAGCATTTCAGTCATGTTGGCATAGATCTCTTCCAGAGTAAGTTCCTTACTCACTAGGAGGTGCGTAAGTAGCCCACCTTTCAGTACTTCTCCTTGGTCCAGCTGAGACTGAATAGCCTTCAATTTGTTGTCAACATGGATTTGACCTTTGGGATTCAAAAAAATTGTTAAGCCTCCATTTTCATTTTTCTGCTGGTTCCATTCAGTAACCACAATTCTCACACTACATTGCACATTCCAGGGGGGGAAAAAAAGTTTCCATAGGGAAAAATCTTAGAGTGGTAGTGGAGATCCTTGGGTACTCATGGAAAGGAAAGATTGAGCTGTCAGGAACCTTGGTAGTTCACAGCATGAGAATGCTGAGCACAAGGAAATGACACAAGAGACTTCAGTTCCCTTCCTTGAGAGAAGCTTGAGGACAAGTTTTTATGTCCACCTGGCTTGTCTCCTGATGAGTCTGCAAGAAGATGCTAGCAAGTATATCTACAAGACGCTAGAAGCAACCAGAAGGTCAAAGCCACAGAACTTAATTACTCTGAAGACAAAGATTAGGAGCATCTTTTGTTTTGAATAACAAAAATTCAAAAACTTCGGTGAATGACACACTGAGCAATTTCACCTACAGTTTCATGTATACTCTAGTGACTGCAAACAGCATCTTTGGTCAAGCAAGGGATTTAAGCAGTCAAGTAAGGGATTTAAGAAGATAAAAACGCTTCAGAAAGTTAATGGCTCACAGAATGAACTTAGAAAAAAATGAAAATCCAGCTCTCAATATTTGAGAGAGAAAAGCGTTCAAGTTTTTTTTAACACTCAAGAACATTAAAATATAAAATTGCAAAGACAACTCCTTCCTACTTACATGAACTTGTATGAAAACTGATTCATAAAGTAGCCTGGAATGTTTTATTTACCAAAGAAACCCATATTGGAGTACATCAACGCATTTCAATGTCACCTTATACACTTGTGTATATATAAATCAACTTTATGAAGTATTTAATTAATTGCCAGAGGCTAGTTTATTAACTTTCTAGTTAATTTTAGTGGTGATTATTTGTCAGTGTGCTTAATTGAAATTTTGCTGAAATCAACAAAACTACCCTCATTAAAATTGAAGTGGTTTAAGATAAAACCTTGGCAAAGCACTTGGACCTGGAGTGGCAAGTGGGTGCTGAAACAGATGAAGATACATAAAGAAAGAACAGTATAAAATAGGGGAGTTTTGAAATTTACTGGTAAAGTTTGTTTTCAGCAGAATATTTTTTAAAACAGTTCCCCTGGCCAGTCTGTATTTAATATGAAACTTACTTCTGCCACAAAGTCTTCTTAAAATTTTAGAAGAGAAATGCAGCTTGTCCCGTTCAAACACACACAGAACCTGCAGAAATACAGCTGAACTTTTCTACTACTAAATCTTACTAAATTTGAAGAGTCCATCCCAGGATCTGCAGAACTCTCTCCAGGGTTTTGGAATAAGTGGGCGAAGCCATTTGGGAATAGCACCTGCATACATAGTGGTCTTAAACATGCTAAACATCAATTCCAGAGCCTCAATATATTCAACAGTCTGCTGTGGAATGTTGTTTTCAAGGCAGCCCAACCGGCATTCATACAGAATAGTTGCCACACCTGCACATAAAAAAATGAAAGAATTGTCTATACACATGCATTAATACATATTAATAATGTAAGGAATTAAATAACATAAAATGAAATTCAAAACACAGTAAAACAGCCCAGCTAAGCACTGCAGCAAGAGAGTAGTTGCTATGTCAATAATGCTCAGCATGAGAAGAGACAGGAATTCCACCAGAAGTAGAGCAGCCTCCAGCCTGTTCGCTGTGTTTTACCCTGCACTACAAATCCTCAGCCTGCCCTGTTGGCCTCTGAACACACAGGGACACACAAGTCCAAAGACATTTCTGATAACTGGTGACAACACAGGAGTTTCTACCAGTGGCTGTGTCTGTCATCAGCTAGTAGCAAATGGATATTGAGTCTGTGTAAATGGATAAAAACTTGCACTCCAGACAGTGCTTTACTGCACACACCATTCTCCACATGGCCCTAAAAAACAGAAAGTGTGACACTGTTGCAAGTGACAATGTTGTCACTGTCTCTTGTTCTGACTTGTAATTTTCACAGATCTTTTTCTGCAGTACTGTGGGCATCCCCACTAGAAATTATCTTTGCTGACAAAAATAATTTTAAAATTTGGTTATTTTCAACTCACTCTTCCTTTCCTACTTTTCCTCCATGGGAAGATTTTTTTCTGTGCCTTTTCTTTCTTGTGTGACTCTTTCAAAAACTGCTAGTTCTTCTACATCCTCTTGCTGCTTACTAGGTCCTTTCAAAGAAATCTTATGTATTGGTTCCCTGAACAGTTACAGGGTAAGTTAAATAAACAGCAAGTCATGTGGAAAGTAAGTATGCCAAGCACAATTATAAATGAAAAAAATAAAAGAATGTGAAGAATTTAAACTAACCCATCAGTTATAGTGAATCTGTAAGCTCATAGTTTGAAATTCCATAAACTGGTAGTTAAATGCCATTTTTAGACACTATTAATGTGAAACAGACCAAGCAGGCAACCAGCAATTCGACACATCTTCATAAGTGAGCAATTTGGAAATTCTTCAAATCCCAAATTACTCAGCTGCCTGTCAAAAAGGAGTACCAATGTTTTTAAAAGACATTACATCTAACAAGATTAGAAAAGAAAGTTAAAGAAATACATGAAGTATGTATCACTATGAGATTTCTGTAAGAACACAGGAAATGCCATACAGGCTCAGTCCAGGGCTTCATTCAGCATTCCCCTCATTAATGGTAGCCAGTGGCAGATGATCTTAAGGCAAGCATAACAATCCCATACTTGGTATCTGTAGGCAGGAAAAGAAGTATCTTTTCCCACATTAAGCTATGAACTGAGTTTAGATGCATCACAAAGGGATTCTTCATTGGAATTTGGCTGGTATATTGTGAAATTAACGTGTCTTAGAAGCCATCTGTTAGAAGGTCAGCACCCTTATTCTTGAGAAATAAATACAGAAATATGGAATACTGAGACTGTCCAAGGCCTTGATTGAACATTTTACCTATACACCAGCATTTCCATAGGAATTACTCCTTAATACAACATATCAGGTCTTTGAACTTTGCAAAGAAATTCTACTAATACCCACTGCACTAACTAGAAGGACACATGAATGCAGACTATCAAACTTCCCTTTTCAGATTAATCACAACAGGGCACAGTCATTTGACAGACATGCCAAACCACAACCACTCTGCTTTACATCCATTTTCTTTACAGATCCAGCCTGGGCTTACCTTCCATTGAATACTTGAAGAAAAGGTTGTTAACATTGGTCACTGTTTCCCCATCCTCCTCTTGACTTCTGAGGGTGTGGATTCTTTTAATTAAGTCTGTGATAACTTCATTGACTCCTTCAGAGTAAATAGCCACGTCTTTAGGTTTCAGAATTTTTTGCCTCAGTACACTCCTCATTTTTAGCCATTGCTCCCCCTCCCTAGAAGAAATTATCAATAATGTCTGTATGTAGTTTTCCTTAACAATCATCAGCTGGGTAAGAGCTCTGCAACCATACTGTTTGTGATTTTTCATGTCAAATGAAAACATGGTAAAATGAAAATTATGATAATGTATGTTTTTGTATTATGATCCTACAACTTGATTCTGTATTTATTGCATGTCCTCATTAAATTTCGGTGTCACAACATGTATGTTAAGGTGTCAATCAATCTCTGGGTTGAGTGACAGAACTTGCCCACTCAGTATTCTGAATTTGACAAGTGTCCCGATGTTAGTCTGCTAGTAGTGGCTAATGCAAGAAATTAGTAAAATAGTCTACTAAAATTGCTTTTAAGTAAATATTTGAATAGGTAGTCTGCAAAATTGATTTTACACAGAACCAGTACTTAATTACCAAGTAAAAGTATCACATTCAGATCTGACAAATCAACAGCTTGAGCTGGTACCATGAATTCCATTACTGATACATCACTTTCAGCTACCCCAGTCCTAAACCTACAAAGTAATGAGAGCAGACCTACCTGTAGAGAAATGAGTTACAGCTACAGATTCTGCTTTAGCTGATCCATGCATGGAAACCTTTTTGCTGAAGACTAAAAATCTGGAATTTAGCATCTACATGCTACATATCAACAGAATATTTGGGAAAAGTAGTTCCAGGAATACCTTTCCATTCCTTATGAAAATGGATAATTATCTTTTATGTGTTTATTTTAAATTGTTATATTTCCCATTACTTTTTTTTTTTTTTTTTTTTACCTGGAGGAATGCCATTGCAAGGCACAGAAACTTATTGGCCAGCAGAAGAATTTAATGTCTTTAACAAATATTTCCTGAGTCCTCTGATTCAAGATCTCTTTTCACAAGATCTCTTTTCACTAAGTATCAAGAAACTGTTAGTTTGAGTCGCAACTGCAGCTTCAGATTTGAGTCTGCAGTGCAATACATAAAGCCTTTTGCTACCATGAAAAAACAGACTGCCCATGACTCAGGAAATTAATTTCCCTCTAAATAAACATCCTATGTCAGTGGGGACTGTGAGTAGTTCCCAGTGGCAATTAACCACACCCACATGCTCTGCCAGGTTATGCAAGCTGTACAGACAGATAACTCCTCTGGAATCAGCCAGATTCAAAAATATCTGTGTGGGGATGCACTACAGTGTGAAATGACCATTCTCTAGGTTAGTCTATGGAGGGGGCATTTCGGTGAACCATAAAGCTAAAACAAATCTGAGCCAACAACTCCACACAGCACACTGCCATCCAGATGGAAGAGTCTAGAACTGATGCAATAAAGCCACATTCATGCAGTGCAATGCCAAAGCTAGTAAGCTCTATTCTGTAAAACTGTTTGCAGGTGAGTCAGCTCAGACAACTCCAGTTGATACACATTCCCAAAGAATGTCTTCATGTAAAGTAGCTCACTGCACGTTCAACTACACATCATTACCATCCCTTTGAAATTTCACAGCAGAACAAATGCACAGCATTCACCACAAATACCTGCTCCCTTCCCCCCACTAGATGCACAAATTTCCCCACACAGAAAAGCCTGCTTTCCCAGATGACTTGTACAGTCTTTCAGAAAATCACTAAACTTGCACAAGAAAACAAGGAAAGTGAAGGACTAACAACACTTACGCAGAAATGAGCCCTGTGGCTCTCCCCCGTAAATCTCTGTACTCCTGCCAGGATTCCATGTTGGCTCTTTGTGGTGCTCTGCCTTCTGCTCGGAGGACTTGAGCAACCATGTCTCGATCTGCAATGGATACAACAAACTGGGGACCAAAGTGAGACTTGAAGATCTTTCCGTATTCCTGAGTGTGTTTTTGCTACAGCATCACCAACAAAGAGAAACAGAAGCCAAGTATTACTAAAGAAAACTAACACAAAAGGAAACTGACAATTTGTCATACACAATCTCTCACATCTAAAATTTCATCCCCAGCTTTCTAGTCAAGGAACAGTTCGAAATGTCAGGAGAAGCATCTAAGCATTACTGTGAAATGTTCACAAGGAAAACAGAGAGGTCACAGGGTTCAGGACCCTGACTGAAAAGACCCAAAGCTCTAAGGCAGAGCGTAAGTGAAACCAAACACTAAGAAGATGAAAGGACCTGGTGCACTTTAAAACACATCCCTTCAGATCAAACAGGTTAGAAAGAATGTCTGCAAAAATTAAAAACATGGAAGTATATAGGGTTAAATTACCAGCATAATACAAAGATATAATTTAATAGCATGTGTAATAACTACTTACTCTATTTAATTGCTTATTAAAAAACTTTGTATGAGTTTATCACACCTAACCAAGAATAATGACACCACAACAGCCTAGTGAAAAGCTGCATTTTGGAACAGATTTTTCAGCAGTGAACTTGAGAGAGACATATGCTAATTCTTCAAAAGAAAGGAAGAAATGAGGTCTTATTCTTGCAGTAGAGTTTATTGAGTGGTTGATTCACAAATCATGTGATTCAGGCTGGAGGCAAACAAGAGGATTGGAAATTAATAAAGAGGATTGGAAAACATTGAACTGTGTATATATATTAAACTAAACAAACAAAACCAACCCAAAAAGTTTACCAGTCAGATTGCGCTATCACTGTCCCATGAAATGTTACTGATTATTTAAAATAATTTTCATTTTGACATGGTCATGAAGTGAAACTCTCAATTTTCACAAATTCACTTGGAGTTGACGTACATCCTCATTTCAGAGGGAAAAACCCCCAGCAAAACTGCAAAGCAGTTATTAAAAAGATAATAAATTTTAAAACCTTTATTTCTGGTTAAACTATTAAGACAAGTTAAACTGACCAAAGTTTAACTTTGACACACTACCTACATTCTAATCTAAAGACATCTGCACAGAGATGATTATAAACCAAAGATGTTTGACACCAACTACACTTGTGAAAGTCTAGTATTGACCCAAGATTAACGTAGGTGAAATATATTTTATTCAAACTTAGTTACAGAAATTAATTGTTTAATTGCCAACAATAAGTTTAAGACATATGAATCACTCTTCAGAATATGATACCAAGTGCACATAAAATTGTAATTCTTTTTTGTCTAGTTTCCAAATAAAACATGAGTTGTGCAATTGTGGTCTCTGCCAGTCACCTCTTAACTACTTTTGGAACACAATGGCCAACTTCAGTCTAAGTTCTAAAGGTCTTACCATTTTCAAAAATCAGCTTCTGGATTCATATGAGACACATGTATTAGTCATCCTGATGAGTGAAATGCTACAGCAGGAAGTCAGTTGTCATTTCTGCTTGGTCTGCTCCTAACCAACACCATAGATGGAGCAATGTATGAACAAGCACTCCCAAAACCCAAACTCTTGCCTCAAAAATACTTCAGGGATACTGAACTTGGAGGTCATAACTTCGAGAGTATGTGTCTCTAAAGGAAAGCATGAGTTGGGAAAGGAGTACAGCAAGGAAAAATCAGTGGAGTGAGGAGGATACAGGCCACCAGTCACAGAAAAATGGTTCAACAAATTTTGGTATTTATGGAGCAGTTTATTATTTTCACTGATGGTGAGGTTTAAATGGGACAACAAAGTTCAAAAGAAAATAAATCAAGTGACAAGATATCAAATCAAATAAATTAAATACTAGTCTTACACCAAAAATGAACAAGGACAAAGTATTTGGGCATCCCTTTCTTTCAATAGACAGAACACCATTCTATCAACTTGATGTATAAAACAATGCCCAGGATTTCTATTTCCATGTTTTCTATCACATCGTGGGTTTTTCTTTCCCTCGTTCTAAACCTTGAAAATGTTCCACTCTAATGCCTCACATACCACTTTCACATCAGTCATTCTTTCACACATCATCAATTCAAACTGCCAGCATCCTAAGCCCTCCCTCCTCACCTTTCTTTTCTTTAGCCTTGCATAGCACTGACGAGACAAAGGAGATCCAACCCCATCAAATTTAAAATACTTTCCCTTTGTCATAATTGCTGTAGGCATTACTACTTTGGCCAGGACTAACTGGAATCATGTTACTGAGAACAGAACCTCCTTTGTGAAAAAGCACTCGGCTTCCCCACCCCTTCTGCATATAGCGGGCAAATATTTGTGTGCACCAAAGGACATCGTTTAAGTAGCTGTGCTGGTTCCCAAAGCATTTGGGATTAATTCATTCCTCATGTTCACTGTATTGTTAAATTTAACAGACTGTTAAATTTAATGCCTACTTGCATTCTATGTGTAGGCAAACAGGGCATCCTGTGATTCTTGAGACTCTAAGCAGAATGAAAACGAGTATTATATTGTGACTTCTTCTTATCCATCCTCACACTTTCCTTTCTAGGAATAGTATTCACTAAAGAAGAAAACACCCATATCAGTTAATGGTAGTGAAAAAGATATACTATTTAGTATGTCTTATATTCTTTTTAATATTTTGAATAATTTTCACTGTTTTGACAGCGAAAGAACTTGAATCCAATGGTAGCATCTTTTTTAGTGTTATGAAACTATGATGAGTACCTCTCAAATTCTGTACACCACCACAGAGTTAGAGGAAAAAAAGAAACGGAATGAAACAAAAAGCTTTAGTTGTCTTCAGGTTTCATCTGCTTGTGTCTCGGTTAGCAAGCAATCAAGTTGAGTAATTCATCATTAGCAATTTGATCTGGCTGCCATGGAATATAGCATAGATCCTAACATTTCTTCTTGAAAATCTAAATCGTAAATATAAGAAAGCTGGACAAAACTAAGCAACTTATGTGATTCTCTTTTTTTCTGTCACCTGCCTCTTTCTGGTGTTTTTAGGCCCTTTGTAAATCTTAACTTTCAGGTTTTGATTCTCAAACAATTTAAAATTCTATTTTCTTTCATTTCCCTTTTCTATTCTTATTTCCCTTTCTCTCTCTTCTTTCTTCCTGAAATTTCAGTAATTTTCAGGCAGCAAACCTCTTGGGGCTGACTGTGAATTTAATCCTAGCGATTTGGGAAAGGTCACTAAGAAAAACAAAATAACAAAATAACCCCATTTGAGGTATTCCAAACGGTGTACTGCCGATGGAAAGCTTATGGATCCACAGCTGCAAAAGAGTGAACAACACAGCTTTCCTCTCTTCTACACAAAGTGCTTCCTTTAGAATCGCTTGGACTACACGGGGAAAGGGCCCCAGGAGATGCACTGTGACTTTTCAGGAATGAAACCCACATGTTTGGCCAAGCAGCCAAAAGAATTTATCTGTGGATAGCGACAGCCGTATGGTAAGAGCGCTGCCCATGCCAGCATCCCCGAGGCGCTGCGCAGAGAAGGAGGATCCTGGTCCACGCAGCTCCCGCAGGAATAACGCGCCTCACCCGCCCTCACCAGGTGCGACCGAGCGAGGGGACCCGCGGGACGCCACAGCACTGCAGGTGCCCAGACCAGAGGACGCTTCTCAAGCCCCACCCGGTCTCTGGTTGGCTTGACCGCCTCCCCCCGCTCCAGCACCGCCACACGCCAGGTGACAGGAGAGGCTCTCGCCCGCCTCCCTCCGTCCCTCCCCTCAGGCCGCCATCCGGCCCCGCTTCCCGCCACCCGCTCCCCTCCCCCGCTCCAGTGTGGAGGCCGGGGAGGGGGCGGCAGGGCCGCGGGGCCTGTGGCCGCTCCCGGGCCGGAGCCTCGCCCCCCCGGCAGGGTTCA